TTCCATAATTTCATTCAAAAAGTTAATCTTTAATAGATGATAGATTCAGGGCCCACAATTTAATTGATTTCAAGTGTTTATTTGTTTAATTTTACAGAATTTGGGCTTCCAGCTCATGAAACCCACAAAAACAGGAATTCAAAAAAATTAGAATACTGTGGAGAAATCTGCCCAAATTTTGCAGGGCATGAATGTTTTAAACCGAGTGTGACACACTAATCATCTACTAACCTCAAAGCACCTGCACAGATTTCCCCAGGTGTCATTAAATTGCTTCAGTTTGGTTCAATTGTCTCAGTTTGGTTCAATTGTCTCAGTTCGGTTCAATATGGGGAAGACTGCAGACATACAGTAACTGGCCAGAAGACCATCATTGATACTCTCCATAGGATGGGTAAGCCACAAAATTTCATAGCTAAGGAGGCTGGCTGTTCACAGAGTGCTGTGTCCAAACATATCAATGGAAAGTCTAGTGGAAGGGCAAAATGTGGCAGGAAAAGAGATGACCGTGAGCTTCAGCGGATTATCAAACAAAGAAAATTCCAGAATCTGGCAGAGATCCAGAAAGAGTGGAATGAGGCGGGAGTCACAACTTCAAAAACCACCACATTCAGACACATCCGGGAGATGGGCTACAACTGTTTGGTTCCTCGGTCCTCTTTTCAGATGAAAGTAAAGTGTGCCTTTCATTTGAAAATCAAGGTCCAAGGGTTTGGAGGAAGAAGGGTGAGGAAAAGAGCCCATACTGTTTGAGGTCCAGTGTGAAATATCCACACTCAGTCATGATTAGGGGTGCAATGTCCGATGTAGGTGTTTGTAAACTCTGCTTTCTTAAATTCAAGGTCACCGCAACAGTCTACCAGAATGTTTAGAGGACTTCATGATTCCTTCTGTTGAGGATCTGTATGGAGATGCAGATTTCATCTTCCAGCAGGACCTGGCCCCTGCCCATGCCATCAGAAGCACCAAAACCTGGTTTGATGCCCATGCCACAGTGCTTGACTGGCCAGTCAACTCACTGGACCTAAACCCCATTGAGAATCTAAGGGGCATTCTCAAGAGGAAAATGAAACCAGCCACTAGGGAGAACAAGCCAGTGTATCTCTTGTGCCGGTCCCAAGCCCGGGTAAATGGTGAAGGTTGTGTCAGGAATGGCATCCGATGTAAAACACTTTTGCCAAAACAATAATGAGAGGTCATCAAAGCGAAACCATACTGGATCGGTCGAGGCCCGGGTTAACAACGACCGCCACCGGTGCTGTTGACAAACATGGTGCAGGCGGAAATTGTGCTACTGTTAGTCGAAGACCACGAGGAAAGAAACGTGTCAGGAGACAGAGGGAGAAGAGGAATGTGAAGAATGTAGGACTGAGGGTTGCAACTCTAAATGTGGGGACAATGACAGGCAAAGGTAGAAAGCTGGCTGACATGATGCAGAGAAGAAAGGTAGATGTTGTATGTGTCCAAGAGACCAAGTGGAAGGGCAGCAAGGCTCGCAGCATTGAAGCAGGGTTCAAACTGTTTTACCATGGTGTGGATAGAAAGAGAAATGAAGTAGGGGTGGTCCTGAAGGAGGAGTTGGCAAAGAATGTAGTAGAGGTGGTAAAGATAGTGTCAGACAGGGTGATGTGCCTGAAGGTAGAAGTAGAAGGTCTGATGCTAAACATCGTCAGTGGTTATGCTCCACAGGTTGGATGTGATGAGTAGGACAAAGATACATTTTGGAAAGATCTGGATGAAGTGATATAGAGTATTCCCAGGGAGGAGAGAGTGGTGATCGGAGCAGACCTGAATGGACATGTTGGTGAAGGAAGCAGAGGGGATGAGGAAGTGATGGGTAGGTTTGGGGTCAAGGAAAGAAACCAGGAAGGACAGATGGTGGTGGATTTTGCCAAGAGAATGGAAATGGCTATAGTCAATACCTATTTCCAAAAGAGGGAGGAACATAGAGTGACCTATAAGAGTGGAGGAAGGAGTACGCAGGTCGACTACATTCTGTGTAGAAGAGGAAACCTGAGGGAGATTAGAGACTGTAAGGGTGTGGCAGGGGAGAACGTGGCCAGACAGCACCGGATGGTTGTGTGTAGAATGACTGTTGTGAAGAAGAGAGAAAGAGTAAAATCAGAGAAGAAGACCAAATGATAGAAGCTGAAGGAGGAAGAATGCTGTGAGAAATTCAGAGAGGAGCTGTTAAAGGCTCTGGGTAGTAAGAAAGAGCTTCCAAATGACTGGGCTACTACAGCAACAGTAATTAGAGAGACAGGTAGGAAGGTACTTGGTGTGTCATCTGGACAGAGAATGGATGATAAGGAAACCTGGTGGTGGAATAGTGAAGTGCAGGACGCCGTTCAAAGAAAGAGATTGGCCAAGAAGAAATATGACAGTGAGAGGACTGAAGAGAGGCGACAGGAATATAAGGAGATGGGACGTAGAGCAGAGAGGGAGGTAGCTAAGGCAAAGCAGAGGGCGTACGATGAGTTGTATGGGAGACTGGACACTAAAGAGGGCGAGAAGGACTTGTGCCGATTGGCAAGACAGAGGGATCAGGCTGGAAAAGATGTGCAGCAGGTTAGGCTAATTAAAGCTAGGAATGGTAATGTTCTAAGAACTGAGAAGAGTGTGATGGAAAGATGGAAGGAGTACTTTGAGGAGCTAATGAATGAAGAGAATGAAAGAGAAAGAAGAGTAGAGGTCATATAAATTGTGGACCAGGAAGTGGGAAAGATTAGTGAGGGTGAAGTCCAGAAAGCTCTGAAAAGAATGAAGAAGGGGAAGGCAGTAGGACCTGATGACATACCAGTGGAGGTTTGGAAATGCCTTGGAGAGATGGCAGTGAGGTTTTTGACTCAAATATTCAATGGCATATTTGAGAGTGAAAAAATGTCTCAGGAATGGAGAAGAAGTGTGTTGGTGCCCATTTTTAAGAACAAGGGTGATGTACAGAGTTGTAGCAATTACAGGGGAATCAAGTTGATGAGCCACACGATGAAGATCAGGGAGAGAGTTGTGGTAGCAAGACTTGGACGAGAGGTGACTATCTGTGAGCAGCAGTATGGTTTCATGCCAAGAAAGAGCACCACAGATGCCATCTTTGCTTTGAGAATGCTGCTGGAGAAGTACAGAGAGGGTCAGAAAGAACTCCATTGTGTCTTTGTGGATTTAGAAAAAGCATATGACAGGGTGCCGAGGGAGGTGGTGTGGTATTGCATGAGAAAATCTGGAGTGGCAGAGAAGTATGTTAGACTGGTACAAGACATGTATGAGGACAGCAGGACAGTGGTGAGATGTGCTGTAGGAGTGACAGATAGCTTCAAGGTGGAGGTGGGATTGCATCAAGGATCGGCTCTGAGCCCTTCTTGTTTGCTCTGGTGATGGACCGACTAACAGATGAGGTCAGGCAAGAATCCCCATGGATGATGATGTTTGCAGATGACATTGTGATCTGTGGTGAGAACAGGGAACAGGTGGAAGAGAACTTGGAGATATGGCGGTATGCACTTGAAAGAAGAGGAATGAAAGTCAGCCATAGTAAGACGGAGTATATGTGCGTAAATGAGAGGGAGGCTGGTGGAACAGTGAGGCTACAAGGAGCAGAGGTGACAAAAGTGCAAGATTTCAAGAACTTGGGGTCCACTGTCCAGGAAAATGGGGAATGTGGTAAATAGGTGAAAGAGAGAGTCCAGGCAGGATGGAGTGGATGGATAAAAGTTTCAGGAGTGATTTGTGACAAAAGGGTGTCAGCAAAGGTCAAAAGAAAAGTTTACAAGACAGTGGTGATACAAGCTATATTGTATGGTCTGGAGACAGTGGCAGTGACAAAAAGACAGGAGAAAGAACTGGAAGTGGCAGAAATTAAGATACTAAGGTTCTCCTTAGGAGTGACAAGGCTGGATAAGATTAGGAATGAGATCAGAGGTACAGCACATGTTGAACAACTGGGAGATAAAGTTAGAGAGGCCAAAGTGAGATGGTTTGGACATGTCAAGAGGAGGGACCGTGGGTATATTGGTAGAAGGATGTTAGAAATGCAGCTGCCAGGAAAAAGACAAAAAGGAAGGCCAAAGAGGAGATATATGGATGCAGTTAGAGAGGACATGAAGGTAGTTGGAGTGAGGACAGAGGATGCAGAGGACAGAGTGAGGTGGAGGAGGATGACTCGCTGTGGCGATCCCTGAAGAGGAAAAAGCCGAAAGAAGAAGAAGATTCTTAAGAGGAAAATGAGGGCACCAGACCCAACAACAAAGAAGAGCTGACAGAAAGCATCAAGGAAATCTGGGCTTCCATAACTCCCAGTCAATGCCACAGGTTGATTGCCTCAATGCCACGTCGCATCGAGGCAGTGATTAAGGCAAAGGGATTCCAAACAAGTATTGAAGACTGACATATTGTTTTGAAAGTACCATATTTTGATTGATTTGTTGTGATCCTAATTTATTATGTTTATTTTCTGCAAAAACTGAAAGTGTGGGTTGATGTGTTCACAGGATTCTAATTTATTGAAATCCTGTTTTTGTGGGTTTCATGAGCTGGAAGCCCAAATTATGTAAAAATAAACAAATAAATACTTGAAATAGTTTAAATTGTGGGCCCTGAATCCATCATCTAGTAAAGATTAACTTTTTGAATGGAATCATGAAAGTTAAACAATTTTTCCATGATATTCTAATTTTTTTGGAAAGGGTCTGTATATCTTTAGATAAATATTAAAATAAACTACTACTTATTACTTGTACTTCTTACTTTGCGATTTTTCACTTATCCCGAGGCTTCAGGGTGCGGATCACCCACAATAAAACGAGGGACTACTGTACTGGTAATTAAGATAAGTCTCATTTAAAAATATTTATTTAAACTCTCTTTGGTCTGACTAATAAAAGGATATTGGGAAAAGCAAAGCTGATATTTCTGTGTAACTGTTTGACTAAATAAATGTGAAAAAATATGCTATATTTTGAAATTTTGAGAAAAAAAAAGAACTAAAAAGCTTGGTCCTTATTCAGGTTTTTATTTTGGGCTCTTGTGAAAATAAGTTTGACTTCCCTGAGTTAGAAGGCCATGTAGAGGCGAGGAAGAGAAATAAAATAGGAGAGATGCCTGACTGTTGAGTTTGTAGCAAAACCTTTAAAAACAATAGATAAAATCCCATCTTAGTTTGGTTTCATGAATATGTCTCATGAGATGAGAATCATCCCTAGTTTTGTGCACAAATTTGTTCAGCTGTAACTTTGTTAACAAGGCATGAAAATTTCTCAAAATTTTGTAGTAAAACTCATCTACCAAAATTTGTCTTTTTAAATTCCAAAGCTGAACTCACCTCTTGAACGAGCCTCTCCAGCTTGTCAGTGAGTTCACAGAAGTAGCTGGAGGTGATGAGTCCTAGACGGCTCTTTTCCAGACAGTCTCGGGCCAGTTCAATGATCTGATGGTGGGCAAATCCGAGCACACCATCTGCTAAAGGGAGGAAGCTCTCTGGAGAGTTGCTGTGGATGATTTCCTGAATCTTCTCTTCCATCTGAGCCGTGGCCTGCAGTGAAGGGGAACAGAGTAGATTGTATTGTTTGTAAAGCAGATGATTATTACTGATCAGTATCAGATGTTTCGGTTATTGCTGACCGTTACCTTAGGAAAGCGTTCCTTGTACACATGATTCATCATGATGATTTCATGGTCGTAACATGATGGAGATCTTCCAGGGCTGAAAAACAGGATGTTAGACACAATTCAGCAACAAAGTCAACAAAGTGCCAAAGCAATATATATTTTCATGGAACAGTAATTCAGATGTGAACCTGAGGCTGCGTGAGCGGGGTCGCATTGTCGTCGTTCTGTGACATTCATCCCCAGCGATGCTTTCAGTGCAGAAGTGCTTGGAGAGAAAGTGAAGTTCATCGGGTGTTGGCTGGAAGGGCAGCTGGTGCAGCTTCTCCTGTGATGAACAGGATGACTGGAAATGAAACAAATATATACTCAATGTGAAAAGGAAAAAAAATGTTTCTTTTTTTATATATTTTTTTTACATGGATTAAAAAAATGGTTGCACAACCTCAATCCTGAAGTCAGACTGATGGTAAAACAAAACCACTGAAACTGGTGCAACAACAACCCAACACCACCTTACTTCACTTGTCTACATTACTTACTTTCTGTACAGTGTAGAAATAAACTATTTTATTCTTCTTTTTATTTTATTTATTTAGTGTTGTTTCAGTGTTTTGACTATGACTGAGAAAGCTCTGCACAATAATTCCAAAGTGCGTGGATTGTTGGTCTGTGCACAAATGGAAAATAAAGAACATTGTACTTTATGCTTTTTACATTGTACTTAATAGATTTATAAATTATTTTAAGTCACTAGTTCTACTTTTTAATTAATATATAATATACTGATTATATGCTGTTTTATTAATCCTAAAAATTTATGAAAAATGCATTTCAAATGGCTGGGAAATGCATAGTATTGAGTAATTTTTTTTCCAAAATTTTCAGGATATGGGTGGGGGTACACCGCAAAGGTACAATTTGGCAAACACACAAACTTCCCTGATAGGTACATAATGGCTATGTGCATGTACAAAATTTCTGCAGCAAAATCATTATGATTTATCATTGTGATGGCTGAATATTAAGGTTCTAGGTGGAGCGAATTGTCAACGTGTCAATGGTGTAAAGCCCATACATGGTAGTATGGCTTGGTCATTGAGAATTTGAGGCAAGACTGGTCATACTTGCTTCATGCCAAGACTAAGACTAATAAAATCGTGGAAACAACATAAGGCCGACAGGATACATGCAGCTGCATCCTGTCATGGTTTGAGAGAGTCAGGACCAGGACAGTGGTACAGAACTTGGTGATTGCCCAGGAGTAACAGAAAAATATATTTGCTAAAGACTAAGAGACTAGCAACATCATGGATGCCTTCACACAGGAGGTTTTGCAAATGGGCTGAAATTCAGCCATGTTCTGGTAGGTCATGTAAATTGAGGAGAGTGCAACTGGGACATTTTCCAGTGTGAAAAAGACCTAAGATGTGCTTAGTAGAGTGAGATTCTTACAGAGATTGTAGAGCTGGGTGTGTTGGTTCCATATCCAGAGGAGGGAAGAGATGCCAAAGACCATCGGCGACCATCAGCTCTGTCATACAACAACAAAGAGATTGACTCAAAAAAACAAACAAACCAGAAACGTCCTTGTGGGTGAAAAGACATCTATCAACTAATACAATCTTTTATCTGCAACATGCTCCTTTTTGAGAAGATGTTTGGATTAAGATCATAAAAAGAAAACTTCTGAAGACTTAATGTGTTTTTTTGTGTGTTGAACCCACGTACAGGCAGACCAACGAGAGACTCCAAGTAAAAATAAATGATTTTAGTTTATTTAAACCAAACAAAACAAAAAGCTGATGGGGCAGCAAAGCTTACTTTTAGGGAGGAGACAATGAGAGGAACAGACACATAGCCAGACAGGCTTGACAGCACAATCCACAGACAACAAAAAGACACAAGGACATTGAATAAATACAGACACTAATGAGACAGGAGTGACAAAAACCTGGGGTGATTCAGATTGGAGACAGGTGAGATGGTAGCTGCACAAAACAGATGGCCGCTTGCCCTGAGCCTGGTTCTGCTGGAGGATTCTTCCTGATTAAAGGGAGTTTTACTTTCCACTGTTGCCATTGCGCTAGCTCAGAATTTCTTCCTTAGATAGATACCTTTTACTAATTGGCTTTTGTATGCATGTGAATTTTTTTTACAGTGCCCTGAGACAACTTCTGTTGTGATTTGGAGCTATATAAATAAATTGAAGTGAACACCAGGAAGAGAACACAGGGGAGTGCAGGAGAACAATTAAAGAAAGGACAGAACAAAACAGAAATCACACAGAACCTTCCACGCAAGGGAACACCTGACATCCCAAGGAAAAGTATGTGCAACTTGGGTGGGAGGAGGAAGGAAACAACAGGACAGAGGGCACAAAGGGAAACACAAGGACCAAAAATAAGAAAAGCAGCAGGAAGGAACCTGGGTATAGGGCTGTATACCGAACCGAGGTTCTTTTATAGCATCGACGGAACTGTGTCAATCGGTGTATGGATTGAAATGTCACTCTTTTTTCAGTGTCAAGTTTCGGTATTGGCTGTAACGTGTCACGTGATTTCAGCACACCGGCAGGTAAAACGCAGACATATAGCAAACAGACTACGTGCTTACACCCAGAGCTGTATAGAGCAGCCGTACACACCTGTATGTCTATGGTGCTGGTTACGCCCACAGATGGGGTTCATGTGTGCAGTGCGTGTTGTCGAACGGCCTCAATTTATGAGCAGAAAGTTGCTCTGTGTTTTTCTGCAAGGAGAGAGAAGGACAGCAGCATTCCCCCTCCTCCTCTCTCAGCATTATAGTCAGCCTGTGAGTGTTGAACGGACTGATTCATTATCTCCACGACCAGACTCCTCTTCATCAAAGAACTCAGAGGACGGAGCTGTGTCTGTGTTTCAGCTGGTAAGTTTACGTTTGTTAACATTACTGCAGCTTAATATGTACATCGCGGTGAATTAAACTAGAATCCATGTAATGCTAACTTTAAGATATTACTGTGTAGCTAGCTAAACTCAGAAGCTAACTAAAGATTGACAGTAACAGATGAAGCTTAGCTTGTAAAAACGTGCTCATCCATCAGATCAGCTGGTTAAACAGTTCACCTAATGCTCACCATTTGTTTATATTTATCTTCTCCTCACAGGAGCCTCTGACCCAGATGTGAAGAGGACAGACAGACAAAAGAACAGTGAGGTGGGGGCCACAGGACAGTCACAAATTTTGTTGTTAAAAGTTTGCTGCCTTTTGCTACAGTGGAGGCTGCATGGTGGAGGTAAGTAAGTAAGCTGTAAAGGATATTGTTGACCAGTTCAGCTTTTATCTCTCAGCCTAGATAACGTTTTTGAGCAATAATACATGTTCATGTTCATGTTTGTGCTGATGTTCAATGTTTTATGTTATGAGTGCTTAGTGTATATTTAGTTGATGTTTTTCTTAGTTCATATCTTAGATGTTATTACTGTTTTTCTTATACATTTTATTGTTGGATGTAACTGGGACCCTGTGTACATAATTTCGCTCCACCACATGTACCACATGAGGTGCGAATGACAATAAAGAAACTCTGACTCTGACTCTGATACCACAACCATGTTTTTGTTGATGTTTTGTGTTCTCGTGTCAATTAGGGAGATGATAAGAGCCCTAAACCACAGAGAACCACAGAGAAGATTTAGGAAGAGACACAGATGTGCAGAAGTCTGCATCAACCCTAACCTCAGTGAATCCAGTGACCTGCTGGTAGAATGTGAGGGACACTATATCAGTGTTATCAAACTGGACAACCAGGTATCTGTGTGTGCAACAAGCATCATCCACACCATCAGAGTGAACACTTCCTACAGCTGGATACACCATCAGCCAGGAGTGAGCTTGTTTGTGTCCAGGGAAAGCAGACATGTTGATTTTTCTGAAGAAAAACTGTTAAGTGAACCGGTCCTCAGTGTGTAGCAGAGGAGCATTAGACACCGACGTGTCACTTGTTGTTTGCAACTGTTCTTTTGACCTGGAAATTATTTGTTTATTTTTATGTAAGAAAACCGCTCGGAATAGAAATACCAAAGTTAAAAAAATAAAGCTCACAATTTGTAATGTAATGTGTAACGTAATTTTATTCTTGTTAGAATTAATAGTAATTACAAAATTGGTACCGGAAAAAGAACCGTCCAGGAACAGACACCAAAGTTAAGGTACTGACACTGGTACTGATACCGATTTTTTTTAGAAAGGTACCACAAACACAAAAATAAAAGAACACCAACCTTAAGAGTTAAGGTGGGCAACCAAGAGACCATCCAGTGCGAGACAGACATTCAGGTGGGCGGCCCAAAGACCATCCAGAACCGGACCAGAGGTCTGGCAGGTGGCCTGGAAACAGACCCAAATGGGGCAAGAGTTCTGGCGGGCGGCCCGAAGATCATCCAGAATGGGGCAAAAGTTCCGGTGGGTGGCCTGGAGATTGTCCAGAACGGGGCAAGAGTGGCATCAACCTGGACCCTCCCTGAATCAGGTGGATGAGAAGTCAAGACGCCACAGGAAGGACTGCAGCAGCAGGCAAACCAGTGATGAGAGCTGCAACTGGCGAGTCAGACCAAGGGGCTGCAGCTGGTGAGTCAGATGAGGGGGCAGCAGCTGGAGAGTCAAACAAGGGTACTACAGTTGGTACGTCAAACCAGGAGACTGCAGCTGGAGATGGGACCAGCAGATCTGCAGCAAGAGATGAGACCAGTGAGTCTGCAGCAGGCGATGAGGCCAGTGAGTCTGCAGCAGGTAATGAGGTCGATGAGTCTGCAGCAGGTGACAAGACCGGTGAGTCCACAGCAGGCAATAAGACTGATGAGTCTGCAGCAAGCAATACAATCGTGAGTCTGCAGCAGGGGATGTGACCAGTGAGTCTGCAGCAGGTGATGAGACCAGATTATCTTCCGCGGGCGGTGGGACCGGAGGATGTTCTGCAGGTGGTGGGACCAGAGGATTTGCTACAGGTGAGGCCAGTGGGACTGCAGCAGGAGGTGAGGTCAGTGGGACTGTAGCAGGAGGTGAGGTCAGTGGGACTGCAGCAGAAGGTGAGGACAGTGGCATGGCAACTGGAGGTGAAGAGCAGAAGTCGTAGTCTCTGACACCCATGCTGAGGCATGGAGGTTATGTATCGTCATCCCGAACACCCACAGAGAGGCACGGAGGATGTGAGTTGTCGTTCCCGACACCCACAGAGAGGCACAGATGATGTGGGTCATTGTCCTCAACACCCATGGAGACACAGAAAAGTGGGTTGTTGTCCCCGACACCCATGGAGACACATGAAGTTGGTTGATTGTCCCTGATGTCCACGGAGATACAGGAAGGTGGTTGATCATCCCTGATGCCCACAGAGACACAGGAAGGGGGGTCATTGTCCCCAATGCCACTGGAGACATAGGAAGGTGGTTTGTCGTCCTCGACACCCATGGAGAGAAAGGAAGGTGGGCTGTTGTCCCTGACCCTCACTGAGACACCAGAAGATGACGTGTCATGGCCAAACCCCGCAGAGACACAGGAAAGCAAGTTTGGTTACTTCAGCAGGCGATAAGACCAGTGAGTCTGCAGTAGGCAATGCGAAATGCTCTTGCTCTTTGAAATGCTGCAGTCTTCAGCAAGTTATGTGATCGGTGAATCTGTGGCAGACAATGTGACCTTGAGTCTGTAGCAGGTGATGAAATCGGAGGATCTTCTGCAGGTGGTGGGACTGAAGGATCTGCCATAGGTGATGAGACTGCAGCAGGAAGTGAGGCCAGTAGGACTGTAGCAGGAGGTGAGGCCAGCGGGACTACAGCAGGAGGTGTAGAGCAGACGTTGTCATCTCCGACACCTACGGAAGGCACAAAAGATATGGATTTTCGTCCCTGACACCAACAGAGAGGCACAGAGGAAAAGGGTCGTCGTCCCCGACACCCATGGAGAGGCACAGAGGATGTGGGTCATTGTTCCCAACACCCATGGAGACACAAGAAAGTTGGTTATTGTCCCTGATGCACACGGAGGCACAGGAAGGTGGGTCGTCGTCCTCAACGCCCCACAGACACACAGGTAGGTGGGTCATCGACCCCGACGACCATGGAGACACAGGAAGGTGGGTCACCATTGCTGACATTCACAGAGATACAGGAAGGTGGGCCATAATCCCTGACTCAGATGGAGACACCAGAAGGTGAAGCTTCATGGCCAAACCCTGCAGAGACACAGGAAGGCAGGTTTGGCTACTTCATCGTCTAAGCAGGATTCGGCAGCCTCGTCAGCGAGCAAGGGCTTAGCTGCTTCATCGGTGAGTGAAGGCTCGGCTGCTTCAGTGGCAAGCAAGGACTCAGCTGCTCCCCCAGCTGGCGAGGGCTTGCCTGCTCCTTCGGATGGTGAGGGCTCGCCTGCTCTTTCGGATGGTCAGGGCTCACCCGCTCCTTTGGCTGGCAAGGGCTTGGCCGCTCCCTCGACTAGCGAGGGCTCGACTGCTCCCCTGGCTGCGGAGATCTCCAGTTTCCACAGCTACAAAAATTTCAGCTGTTACTCCAGCTTGGAAGATCACCACTGCTTTCCCGGCTGCGTCTGGGAAGACTTGGATGGAGGGAGGGACTGGAGTTGGATGGATCCAGTCCAGGTCTGTTGTTGGCCTCTCTTGTAGCGGAGATGAGGAAGATTAGTAGATTGCCCTCCTCCCACTGATGACCACTTGGGAAATTCAGGAGTTGACCAGGGTGGTGAAGGGTAACAAGGTGGTGGAGTGGAACAAACGGGTTTAAAAGCCAGGTGAGTTGCCCGGAATTAAGATCTCATCCTCTCCTCCTTTTCCACCAAGAGAGGGGATGGGAGATTCTCAACCTCCAGGCTGTGACATCTTTGTCTTCGAGCAGGTTTGATCTGGAACCCGCTCCATCTGATGACGGATTGTGCCTCTTCCTCCTCCTGCTCATGCTGGGCAGTCTTTTCTGCTTTGTGGGCCAGAAACTCAAAAAGTGTAATCTGCCTGTTGGGTTCAGTATGGTCAGTGAAATCTGACATGACTGTTGTTTTGTGTGTTGAACCCACGTCCAGGCAGACAATGAGAGACTCCAGGTAAAAATAAATTATTTTAGTTTATTTAAACCAAACCAAACAAAAAGCTGATGGGGCATCAAAACATACTTTTACAGAGGAGATGATGAGTGGAACAGACACAGAGCATGACAGCCTTGACAGCACAATTCACAGACAACGAAAAGACACAAGGACGCCACATAAATACAGACACCAATGAGCACAATCCACAGACAATGAAAAGACACAAGAACGCCAAATAAATACAGACACCAATGAGACAGGAATGACAAACTCTTGGGGTGATTAAGATTGGAGACAGGTGAGACAGGTGCTGAATAAAAGAAAGAGAACACAGGGGAGTGCAGGAGAACAATTAAAGCAACTAATTGACTAACTGTAGACAAATCTGTATAAATTAAGGCTGAATTAAATAAAGAAATAACAGAGCAAAACACAGAGCGAAACACAGAAATCCCACAGAATGACCGCACTGTTGTAGATGAACAGCATATTCTTTAGTATATTTTCTAATAAAACCTACCAGTTACTCCACATACAAAATTAGAACCTGAACTAGACACTTTAATGAAGAAAATTTCAGTAGTAGCCCACTGAGTAAAACCAACTCAAAAATGAGGATGGTAAACATCAAAGGATATTTCATATAATTGTGAAGTTGATGACTAAACAAGTAAAGACCAAACTTGAAGTCACCTCTTTGTTTTGTGACAGTGACTGTGGATTACATTGAAAATTGTGTTGAATGGATCAAAATAAATGTGTGCCGTTTTATAATAAATAAATAAGTAAGTAGGTAAGTAAGTAAGTAAGTAAAGATATAAACGTTGAGATTTACTCATGTACTGACAGAGAAAATTGTGTTTATGGAATGAACAACTCTGTTTTTGAATTTGAATTTGTATTTCATTTCAAGTCTGGTTACCTTCGTGCAAAGGAGAAATGAGAAGAGGCACTGGGAGAGAAGTTTCTAGGGCTGTCTTGTGGACTTGTTCCTGCATGAAAAAACAGAATAAAAAAAAATGTAAATATTGAAACAAAATCAACTTGCAATCAAAGCAACGTCAAAATTCTATTCCAGTTTCAAATGGAAGCAACAACAGTTGAATGTTGCATGAATGAACCACAAAAGCATCACATACATATTGTTTTTAAAGTCCTAAAATCTAAAAAAAAAAAAAACCTGAAAAAAATAAAATGATTGTTTCCAGGGCTGCAGATAATTTCTGCTTGATAGAGGTGTGAATGAAAAGCTGATTCAAAAATAAGTTGATACAAAGCAAATACTTCTATTTGAATTAATGAGTTAAACATCTAATGTTTTAACTGAAAGGCAAAATTACCTGTTTAGGGTAAAAATAAACTAAAAATATCGGCATGCTTTAATCAAGTTTTAATTCCAGGCATTCATGTGTTTGCAGCACGTTTTGTAGTTTGCTGTGCGTTTGCATCTGTAGGTCACCGTAAAAATGTTTTCAATATTCTCAAAATTACTTAATGTTTTAAAAGCTATATTCTACTGTATTTTTCACTATTTCTAAAAGTCAAAGGGGAGAACATACACATTTCACACAGGAAGGCCCCAGACTGGAAGGTGATCTAGCAACTTGCATGCTGTGAAAATTTGCTCTAATCTGGTGATGCCCCATCACAGAATTGCCACCTTAATCTTAGGGGTTTGAGTACCCCTGTAATCCTGGGGGCTATGTTGCTGGGGCCTTAGCCCATAAAGTCTACCATGGCAAACAGGCCTTGGGGGAGGGGCCAGACTAAGAGAGATTCAAAACCCTTGATGAAAAAAGCAACAGAGGCATCAAGCATGCCCTCTGTCCGTGCAAGCTTTCAACTCACACCTCTGGGAGATTTTTCACATGTCACAATGGCCATGTTCAGGGCCTCTATTGCAGATGTGGCTTCTTGAAGCTGTGGCCTGAAGGCCTGAAGTGGCCATGAAAATTGTCAGGCTGAAGAAGGAGGCCTTCGGGACTTGGCTGTCCCAGAGGACTTCCTAAGGAAGTAAGTAAAACTTTATTTATATACTGTATATATTGTAAATACAGTATATATATATATATATATATATAT